TACTTTTTGTTAGGAATCATCTATACCAAAACTCAACCGTTTTTAAAATATTAAATATTTTTTCAAAAAATCGCAGCATGTGTCAACAAAAACCAACATATTTCATCCATTGGAGATTCTATACGCTAAAGCTTTTGCAGGTTGTTAGTGCATAATGTCTGTCGATTTTTATCTGATACTCCAACGGAATTTGAGCTAGTAGCTCCCTACATTAGACCGCCAATGGTTACCTGACGTCACATCTGTTTTTGCCATATGAAATACCCCCTTGCTCCTCATACGGAAAGTGTCAGTTCAAAAACGACGGACTTTACTTACATTTACTTCATGGTCCTATGAAAATCTGTTAACATTTTACAGGGTGTTCGCAATACTGTACACAATACCAGACTTTTAGTAGTTAGGAATAAACTGGAAGATGTGCAATGCTTTGTAAAGGATAGTGGCTGTGATATGTTAATTCTGTCTGAAACATGGTTAAATCAGGAGGAAACTTTTCTATATAATTTTGATGGTTTTGATTCTGCGCACTCCTGTAGAGAGTCTAGAGGAGGAGGAGTATCCATATTTATAAAAAATCATTATGCATTTCATGAAATTGATCGTTCGTCGACTAGTAGCAATTTAAATTGGGTATGTATTGAACTAGTTAATCAAAATTTGAAACTAAGTGCAGTTTATAGGCCACCCTCCTATAGTCATGTTGAATTTTTCAAAGATATAGAAAATATTATTACTAAGCATCCTAAACAACATACAGGGTGGTCCTCCGGGAATGACATCGATTGCTTATGGGAAAACTGTGAAAGGTAAAAATTTGAAAATTTGGCAACATAGCAATGTCGATGGGGGACATCTAGGTAAAATATTTTCAAGATGGCGGCATTTCCGGTCATACCGGAAGTTGATACCAACTCGGTTATTTTAAATAGAACACCCCGTATATAAATGTATTTTTGAATTCTACATAAAATTCTGAGCAGATTTCATGTAATATACCCTATACCTAAGTTCAACTGTTTTGGAAATATTGACAGTTGAAAATTGACTTTTTGCAACTTTGACAGGCTGTAAAACCTGAACAATTAATTTTAGAGGAAACCCGATTTGACATTCCTATCTTAGATTTTTATAAACTATCATTTGACATCAACTTTGAATTAAATCCATGATTAAAAATTTCAGTTAAATTTAATCTCCGTTTAAGTTCAAAGTTGGTGTCAAATGATAGTTTATCAAAATCTAAGATAGGAATGTGAAATCGGTTTTCCTCTAAAATTAACCAATTAGGTTTTACAGCTTGTCAAAGTTGCAAAAAGTCAATTTTCAACTGTCAATATTTCCAAAACAGTTGAACTTAGGTATAGGGTATATTACATGAAATCTGCTCAGAATTTTATGTAGAATCCAAAAATACATTAATATATGGGGTGTTCTATTTAAAATAACCGAGTTGGTATCAACTTCCGGTATGACCGGAAATGCCGCCATCTTGAAAATATTTTACCTGGATGTCCCCCATCGACATTGCTATGTTGCCAAATTTTCAAATTTTTACCTTTCACAGTTTTCCCATAGGCAATCGATGTCATTCCCGGAGGACCACCCGGTATTGTGGTTGGTGATATTAATATAAATTTATTGGATTTTAATAAAATAACTACAGATTACAAAAATATATTAACTGTTAGTAATTTTCACATCAACAACACAATCTCTCAAAAACACTCAACTAGGGTTACCGAATATAGTAATAGTATAATAGATCATGTTATTTCGGACAAATTCTCAAATTTAATAAAAGTAGTAGATGTAAAACCAAACCCCTTGTCAGATCACTTTCGATTATATTTTAGAATAAGCAATCACCCTAAGATATACAAACCTAAAGTAGAACACAGCATTAAAATAGTTGATCATAAAAAATGTACCTCACTGTTTAGGGAGCAAATTGTAGAGGCGAATGTCTCATCATTTCGGGAATTGAGTGATCTGATTGTTAATATAAAAAGTAAGTCTACTTACACAAAGTTCATTAAAATAAGGGAAAATAACATTTGGATGACTCAGGATATTCTGGAGATGATGAGATTGCGGGATAAGGCATATGAAAATAAAATAAAAAACCCAGGTAATCTACAACTCAGTAATGATTTTAAGAATATCAAAAACAAATTAAATAATAAAATAAGATTAGCAAAAAACAAATATTTTCAAAAAAAATGGAATGATGCAGGTACTAACAGTAAAAAGCAGTGGAAATTCATTAATAGTTTCTTCAAAAATAATAATAAATCTACTGAAATTGGTTCATTAAATATAAATGGAAAAATTATTACGAATTAAAGAGATATTACCGAGAATATGAATAAACATTTCTCGGAGATAGGTAAAACAATAGCTAATGAAGTACTACACAATATTCAAAGTTTAGGGATCAATCAAGCATTTACGGAGATAAGTTGTAATGCCAGTGCAATAAATCTGGAATTAACAAACCAAAATGAAGTCAATGAATTCATATTGGAGCTTAAAAAAAAATCTGCCCCTGGCGATGATCAAATAACTGTAAGAGACCTTTTGAATTTGAGAGAGCATATTTTAGAAACTATCACCGTCTTAATAAACAAAGTTCTGACTACCGGCATTTTTCCCGCGGAACTAAAAAATAACAAAGTCAGTCCTATATATAAATCTGGAAAAAGATACCTAATAAACAACTATAGGCCAATTTCAGTGGTGAGTGTGTTCTCAAAAATTCTTGAGAAAATTTTAAAAAGGAGAATGCTAATGTTTATTAATAATAACAGACTTGTTGATAGGTTCCAATATGGGTTTAAAGAAAAAAGTAGTACACTGTCGGCTACGGTAGATTTTGTAAACAATGTATCATTAGCTTTAGATCAAAAAAATATTGTTATTGTTGTTTTTGTAGATTTAAGTAAAGCCTTTGATGTAGTAAATATAGACAAACTTTTATTTAAATTGCAATACATGGGTTTTAGGGGAAATTTTTTGAAAATAATTAATTCATATTTGAGAAATAGAACACAATATGTAAAATTGGGAGATATCTGTAGTGATGCGATGTTTACTGAATATGGTGTGCCACAGGGGTCGGTATTGGGACCCCTCTTATACTCTTTATACGTATTAAACCTGAAAAGTGCTAACCTTAAAGCCCAATACTTTACCTTCGCTGATGATACAGCACTTGTCTATACGGGTCACGACAAAAATTATTTAGTACAAACTGTAAATGAAGATCTTGACACGTATCACAATTGGTTATATTCTAACAATCTAAGGATGAACGTTGATAAAACCAAATACAGAGTATTTAGGCAAAGAAATAAAAATATCGACAATCTAGAAATTAAAATTAATAACTCTCCGCTAGAAAGGGTTACACATATCAAATACTTGGGCTTAATAGTTGATGAACTTTTAAATTGGCAAATGCATCTCAATAAAATCACGAACAAAATAAATCCTATGTTTCCTATAATGTACAAAAGCTGATCTTATCTTACAAACAAAACAAAAAAACAAATTTACAATACATTTTTTCTTACCCACTTCAGATATCTTATACCAATTTGGGGTACATGCACAAAAAGCACCTTTGATGAAATGCAAGTCTTGCAGAATAAAATACTCAAGGTTCTGTTTAACTATGACATTTTGACGCATACACAAACTCTGTATCACGAACTTAATCTTCCAAAGTTGGAACAAATTTTAAAATTAGAACAAATTAAATTGATATATAAAATATTAAAAAATTTGCAAAAATCCAACACAGAGCTTGTGCATGTAAACGAGATTCACATTCATGATACAAGGTTCCAAGACCAATTGCATGTAACACAGAGTAGAACAAACATAGGTCTATACAACCCAATAACAAGTGCAATTAGGGCATACAATGAATTACCAGAAAACATTAAGACTATAGTCCCCTTTAATAGGTTTAAGTATAGGTTAGAATTGTATCTAAAAGCTCATTACTTAACCATATGTAACTATAAAAGAGATATTGTATTATGTTCCTAAGCCAACCTTAACACTGTGCTAAACGTAGTAAGAGACTCTCGAGATCAATACTTTTGTACTGATTCGAGATCATAAATTGTTATGTAATTTAAGAATTTAAATAGTTATTTTTCAAAAAAAAAAAAAAAATGTACACAAGGTTGTTTGAGAGAGGTAGGTTGCCTGATAACTTCTTGACGTCATCTGGGGTGCCTCAACATAATGCAAATCTGCATAAGGCACCCCAGATGCGTCATCAAGTTACCCATTACCAGAAAACCTATGAACTTTAAGAACCTTGGTAGGTACGTCGGTACTGGTGAACCTATCATATTCATACCATGCCTTTAATCCTTTACTTTCTAGAACTTGTCTTTTCTTGAAATTTTGTTGTAATTGATAAATGTAAAAAAAATCTTTGTCCGGGGGGGGTAATTACCCCCTCTACCCCCCCCTTTAAACCGCCCTTGCATAAGAGAAACTTCTATATCCTTTGTTGATCATTGTAATGATTTAAATTATTTTGACTGGGATGTTTTAAAAAAAAAAGGAAAACGTGTTATAATAAGTTATTTATTATTATTATTTGTATCTGTTCTATCATCATTAACCTGTTCTACCTTATAGATAATTACTAGTATTGTCAAGAGACTTGTCAGGGACATATAATTATAGCAATTGATATTAAACTTCAATCTTCAAATATATACAAGTTCATATAATATTACATGGGTATCTGTCTGTCTGTCCCATTTAAGCCTGTGTCTAGTAGCCTAGTCTTGCCTGTATAATTAATTCTACTTATGTTAATTTTTGGTGCCCGAGCCACCATAGTAATTTTGAGATTCCGGCGCCTATGATCAATGGAATGGATATATCGTATCGATAAGCCATTTTTTAGTTCGGAATCTAGAGTACATAGACACCACACCCTAGTTCAGTATAAATAAATAGTGCCTTCTTACCAATATACATAACAAGTCCCAACACCAGAACCACTCGCCTTCCCACAAAACCGTCGACATTCCAAAACCAAAAAGGAATAAAGGTTGTGTAAAACAATTCGTCGCCCAAAGCCGTTCCGAAAACAAACAAATAATACCACAGTTTGTTTTTGATCACGTATTGCTTAGGAACAGTTTTATCTGCATTTTCTTCCCGGTTTTTCGCGTTAAAAACGATCCTTTCGACGCCGAAAAACTCTTGAATCTTAGACACTAGCACTGGGTCACCTAACCTTTTCATTTTTTTTTGTCACTGTATTGTATCGACAACTAATGATGATGATATAATGTTTGATTATGAATTTAATCGCGTACTTAAGTGAGCTATCATTTTTCTATTGAAAATAGAATTAAAATTTTTTAAATTTATTTATTGTTTGATAAGAGTTTATTGAGTTATCAACAAACAAAAAACAAAGGATATTATGACATTTCTCTAAAATGAGGTCACATTGTTAGGTGCTTTCTTTCACGTAGGTAGGTACTCCATAAGCACTCAATAGTTGTATTCCTTTCACACCTAGGAGCAGCTCCGGGGCGTTACGCGCTTATTCTTTTCGAAAAGTGTTTGTTGCACCTGAGTGCTCAAGCCCAATTCAAACCAATTAAAATGCATGAAAACCAGCGCATCTGTTCCTTTCAAATCGGGGTCGACTAACACCGGAGCGAGTAGCTCTAGTGTTTCAAGCTCTTGAAAGAGTAGATTGAGATTCAGAACAGTTTCTACAGTTCTGTTCTGTTATGACAATTATAAAATTACCCGATTTGTCAAGTTTGAATCCGGTTGAAAAAATGTTCTAATGAAGCGAGTTTTCGGGATCTCAACTTTCAAAACGAGTGCCTGGAATCGATAAAAATTAAATTTTCAAAAAATGAATTTATATTTAAATTTTTTGGATTTTAGTTGACATCAATGATGTTGTTGGCACTCACCCAATATGCCACCGAAAAAGGAAAAGGTGCATCAAGTAATCAAGTGAAAAGTTGTATTACTTTCAAGAGCTTAGAACCCTAGAGCTACTCGCTCCGGAGTTAGTTAACCCCGATTTGAAAGGAATATGCGCTGGCTAACGTGCATTAAAAAGCTGTATTCCTTTCAAGAGTTTGAAACACTAGAGCTACTCGCTCTGGTGTTAGTCGCCCCGATTTGAAAGGAACAGATGCACTGGCTTTCATGCATTTAAGGGTGGGTATTATAAAACTGCTTTGACAGTTAACTTGAAGTTAACTTTTTGAATTACATATAATTCTAGAAGTTAACTTTCAAAGTAGTTTTATAATACCCGCCCTAAGAGCGAGTATTATAAAACTACTTTGAGAGTTAACTTTAAGTTAACTTCTGAAAATACATGTAGTTCAAAAATTTAATTTCAAGTTAACTGTCAAAGCAGTTTTATAATACCCACCCTAAGGCCTGTATATCTGGAATTACATGCCTAAGGGCGGGTATTATAAAACTGCTTTGACAGTACACTTGAAGTTAACTTTTTGAATTACATGTAATTCCAGAAGTTAACTTTAAGTTAACTCTCAAAGTAATTTTATAATACCCGCCCTAAGGGCATGTAATTCCAGAAGTTAACTTTAAGTTAACTGTCAGAGCAGTTTTATAATACCCGCCCAAATGGTTTACCTCGAGCTTGAGTACTCAGGTGCAACAAACACTTTTCTAAAGGAATAAACGCGTAACGCCCCCGAAGCTGTTCCGGAGCTCCTCCTAGGTGTGAAAGGAATACAACTATTGTCACATAGTGAATTGAAGTGCCAGTGAAGGAATACAGGTGACGTCACAGCACTGGCGGACAGATTTAGCCGATTGCAATCCTAGAGTTTACGATTCTTGGTCGAATGGCATGTAATATTCAAAGTTGAATTGTAGAGGGCGCTTCTGTACTCTAGAGCTTTTTGAATTGCGACGCGTTAATAACCGAGTGTAATTTTAGTAGCATTTGAAAATTAATTTTGAATTTTTATTTAAGTAAATTTTACTCTGACTGTTTTGTTCTAAATGCGCTGATTCTTTTCGAACTGTTCAACTGTTTGAAATACTTTAACTGTTCTAGTTTTGTGTTCCATTTGCATTAACTCGATTTAAATTACTCTTAACATAGCTGAGTCAATCTGGGGGGTCAGGGTGCAACAAATTAGCAACAAGCTAATTCCAGCGGAAATATTTAGTAAGTGATCTTTTATTTAACCTCCCAAAAGTCCCATTCAGTCCTAGTGGTGGAAGGTTGAAAAAAATGGCCGCCATCTTGGATTTTTTTGTTTTTTCCAAATATCTCAGTTTCTATTAGTTTTTTCAAGAAAACTCAAGAAACCTTTTTTGTGGAGAATTTAATTATCTATAAAACGTGTTTATACCTTTTTTTGTAACATAAAGGATAACGGAGATACCGAGATTTTTATAGTAAATATTTCAAACATTTCTTTACTTTTATCCCTTTCGAAATGTTTAGAAAAAGTCTAAGGTTAAATAGAGAACGAAAACGATTTCCCCTGTTCCACCCCCAGCAAAAAGCGTTAGGAATGCTAGAGCTGCAACGGGTAATCGTTTTCGTTCTCTATTCAACCTTAGACTTTCTTTAGACATTTCATTGTATCGCATTAAAATTGATATGCAAGATGTTTACTTGCCAGGCGTGTATAGGACTTGGACATGAATGCAACAAGTTCCTTATTAGAATCCAAAATAGCTTTGCAGGTGCCTTCCAGCCCATTCCGTTTATAATACTATCCATAGTGAGCTGGCCATTGTCAGGAATAGGAGAAAACCCTCCTCGAAACCCTCTATCTAATTTTGCTACATCATCCTCGATGACACACAATTCTGATTGGATAGCACAACTCTTCAGTCGGTTTTGAGCTTTTCCATCTCTGCTTCGAATTCGTGAAGTATTGGGCTTAACCCCGGCAGTGCTCAGGCAGCGTTCTTCCATTATGAGAACTCGGATTTCAGAGCTCCTTACTCCAGAGCAATTTCTGCATAGAATCTTGCGACAAATTATCACAGGTAGAATCATATCAGGATTGCTTATGGTAGGAATAAAATAAACAGAATGTTTATTTGGCTTAGGCCCGGTTTATTCATCTTCAGATAAACTTGCTGGTAACTATCTGCAAAATAAATGTATTGTTCTATTATTCTATTGGTTGGCGGATAACTGGCCGACCAATGAGATTGCAAATTTTTGTGCTGCTGATAAGTAATACAATTTATCTTTTTTTTCTATTCCTTTTTGAGTCCCAATAATAAAACTGGATTTGTTGGCTCACCAACAATGAAGTCCAGAACAATTTTTACAATGTTAAAAAGATCACAATTTCACAAACGAAATGACTCCATACACGATCAATATGACCAATATAGAATATAGACCCATAAAAACTTGCAATTTATACGGAACGAATGTACTACTTACTTTGGTGGATCGCTTTTTTGGATCTTCAACAAAAAAAACCCTCCTGGGTATGTCACCATGAGGATTTTGTTGCGCTAAAAGTGAAAAATGTATAAATCAAATCCTAAAAAAAACTATATCTCCGTTATCCTTCATGTTACAAAAAAAACGTAGACACACTTTTTATAGAGAATATTGAATTTTCCACAAAAAAGGTTTCTTGAGTTTTCTTGAAAAAACTAATAGAAACTGAGATATTTGAAAAAAACAAAAAAATCCAAGATGGCGGCCATTTTTTTCAACCTTCCACCCCTAGGACTGAATGGGACTTTTGGGAGGTTGAAGAGGAGGTCAGCTACTAAACATTTCCGCTGAAATCAGCTTGTTGCTAATTTGTTACACCCCCACCTATGTTATGCAGCTACGTTTATCCTACTAACATTCTATCTGCATTTTATATTATTCTTTTGAATGTCTTCTATGTTTCGAGTCGTTCTAAGTGTTCCAATTGCTTTAATTTTTGTTAGGTAAAACTTTGAGAAACAATAGAAATTTTGGTTCATTGTTAATTCCTTTATAAAAATAGACAGAATACAGTAAATTAGTAGGATATAAAATTGAATGAATGAAGTGCTCAAGCCCGAACTTAACCATTTAAATACACGAAAGCCAGCGCATCTGTTCATTTCAAATCGGGGTCGCTGACACCGGAGCAAATAGTTTTAGTGTTCTTCTGGCTGTTCCAAGTGCACTGACTCTTTTTGATCTGTATAACTGTTCGAATTTCTTTGACTGTTTTAATTCTGTTCCATTTTGCACTGCTCTGATTGTTACTGTTCGAACTACTTTAAAATGCTACTAAACAGTGAACTTATTTACTATAACAATAGACTGATCTGAAAATTAATTTTGGATTTTTAGTAAAGTTTGTTTGTCAAAATGACATTATGTTAGCAATACAATGTGAAATTGTCAATGCTTTCAAATTTTTAATGTAGAAAAGGCTTGTGTTGCCAACATAGTTACTAAATTTTTGACTTGGAGAATTAGAAAGTTCTCGTGCGTCAGACGCTACGCTAATACGGTACCGCTAACAATACGGTATTTCACATGGTAATTTATAGTTCTCGGGCTCGAAGACACATACCCTAATAACACCGATCTCCCAGAAACATCCTATTTATGTACCATTAAGGTCCTTATGTTTCCGACATAAATGGTACATCGCTGCGATGTTTGTAATGTAACATCTCTAGGATGATTGTCCTGAAATGTTTTAGAAACATCCTTTCGAAAATATCTATCGACAAAAAGATTTTTTGTTCTCAAAATTAGATACTTATTACAGCTAAAAAATGGCTAACATTATTTTACAAAACTAGGTAGGACCTCAGACCGGTAGGACCCAGTATTAAATTTGCCAATTTTGTGTGATTTCTGAAAATGTCTCTATCACACACACAAACTAATTTCAAATTCCATAATATACCTGTAATGTATATAGATAATAAGGAACTTAATATTAATTTTGTATTGTAACAACAGCAATATTTAATTTTTCATTCGACTTACAACTTGGAATAAAATAAAATATGTATTGATAAAAGTCTTCTCTCTTTTCAACTTTCAAACATCGTGAATATTCGTGAAGCCGAAGTGTATGGCGCAGGCGCGTGCTCAGGCATTTGTACTTGTACCGGTCAGGACAGGAGGGCACGCCACCACGTCGGGTCGGCGCCGCAGCCAGCGCAGACGGGCAGAATCAGTCGAACGGGTCGTCCTGTGCGCTACGCTTGTGTTGTTGGGCGGAATTTTATTTCGTAATGGCGTCGTGCTGTGTGGAGGATTTGTCAATTTGTGGTTTTTCGCTACACCTAGTTGTGCCATTTTGTGTTCGAAAGGATCTCTGCGACCTACCAGTGCTTATTAGTTGGTGAGAAAGATTATTTGTTGAAAGATAACGTCGCATAACTATCAATTGTTTAGTTTATTTAATTTCAATATGGCGTCGGTTAGGAAATTTCTAACTTTTCTGATAAATAGCCCCTAGAAACCCGAACTTCATTCTTCATTAGGTAAGAGAAAATAACCAATAATTATTTTTTGTTTTCATAGTTGATTACATTCTAGGTGTGCAAGTTGAATTGTACTTCAAGAACTTTGGATTTTGGTTCTGTGGTTGTTTTGGTTAGATAATGGTACCTTTATGAAATTGGAGCACCAACAAAAAAAGAAAACGCCGAACTCCCCTACTACAACATGCTGCCACTGCCAAACTATGGTTTTCGATGACATGACGGGGCATAAATACTACATTATTTAGGCAAAATTGTCCGTCGATTATTATTAGTTGATAGATAATCAATATAAGTATACATGTACCTTATTTTTTCAATAAAAAATGTTATTGGAAACTGATGTGCCTACTTAATTTTATAATTTTCAATTTTTGTTTTTTTTTTGGAAAAAGTTCTGACTTCCAGAAAATAGAACGAAAATTGAAAATTATTGAATTAGGTAATTTTTAATCCATAATCCTAAAATTCATTCACCTATTAAAGTCATACTAGAAACATATAGAGGATGTTTCTTACACCTGCCCCGGATGTATTAGGTACATCCCGCGTCATCTTAGAAACATCCCTGAGAGATGTTTATAGGACATCGCAAATGATGACACGGCTGTTGCCTGCAACATCCCAGGGATGTCCCCAGGAAAATAGGGACCTCCCAGGGACGTCTTCATTATCCCTGATGGATGTTTCTGGAATGTTTCTGCGATGTTACTGTGTTATTAGGGTAAATGCTCTAATCCCTTATTCTGTTTACTTTTTGACAGTGAGTTGAGTAATCTAACCCCACTTTTTTTGCTTGTTTTCTAACTTTTATTTATTCTGAAGATTCCTAAGCTTGATTAATTTTCCCTTGGTGCTTTTTATGGAGAAATTATTAGAAGTTTCTGTTTTTGCAGACACAAATAGAGCGTAAACTCGTTTTGACATAGCATAGCGTTACGGTAAGGCATCCGGTAAGTTCCGTTAGATAGCGGGCTCCGTTAACGCTAATACCGTAAGAACTGTCATACTTTGTCAAATAGCGTTACGGTATTTGAAATTTGGACGGCACGAGAACTCTCTATTATCTTTAAAGAAAAAACAGACTTTATTACTCTTCTGACTGTTCAATCAATCGATCAATCAAAAAAGTTCTTTATTGTCGAAGAAGTATTATAGCTACAATAAATATGAGCTGGGTTTGACTTGCACACTTCGAGTGACTCCGTTCGCACTCCAGCCGTTTGGGTATTGCTTTTTAATGAATCAGACAACGGTTGGAGTGCGAACGGAGTCACTCGGAGTGCACGGAGTGTGCAAGCCGAACCCAGCTATTATTGACAAAGCATAATATAAAGAAAAATGCAATATTACTAACTAAGCTTAAAAAGTAACAAAATTATTAAAATTGACAAAATTGACCAAGTGTACTGACTCTTTTTAATTTGTTCAACTGTCCGAACTACTTTACTTTGACTGTTTTAATTCTATCCCATTTGCACTAAATCGATTTAAATTACTCTAAAATTATATTTGAATTCCTTTTATAGTTCGAGTTACTCTCTGTGTTCTAATTGCTTTGATTTCTTTTCCGTCTGCACTAACTCTGTTCTGTATGCACTGCTCTGATTGTTACTGTTCGAACTACTCAATTATTCAACTAATCAATGAATTTATTCACTATAAGTAACGTAAAAATATGTATCGAAAAATAGGATCAGTATTTTGAGAATTTCACACGAATTTCGACTCGACTCGTAAATCCGGTTGCAGTACACTGGAGCAAGTTGAATAACGAAAACTGGTAAATCTATAAAATTTCCGATATGTACCATCGTCGCCAAAAGAGATTATTATGAATTATTTTTGTTTCAGTTACTTTTGGTGACGATGGTACATATTTTGGTCGAACCTGGGTGAATTTTAAAAAACGCCCTGTTTTGCAACTGTCAACGAAACATCAACAATGACAGACATGACATAACCTCACACTCACAACTTGACAACTAACCGAAAATATTTTTCAAAAATCAAATATCCTATTCATGTGTGATGTGGTTCAATTCATTGTTATTTTTTCATAGTAATTTTGGGTTTTTGTAGCAAAACAAGAATATACTCGAGCCCTACCTTTTGAAAGCCCATTGTAAGTATACATTTAACTACTTTTTTTCATTCTGTAAAAAATTATGTATGTAAAAATCGAGGTGAAAATGTTTTGTGAATATTTACTATTAAGATATACGAGCCTACCTTTCTTAAAAATTCAATATTCCAGTAATTATCTAATTTTCCTTAAGCTAGATTCATAATTGCCGTAAGGAAAAACTTTACATTCAACTTATAAAACTTGAAAAAAATGCTAGTATAGTATTATTTCTCATATTAAAAATGTAAGAATTATATTATGTATGGTACTTGGTATGATACACCTCAAAGTTGTTTTAAATGTGTATCCTGAATTGAAGCTGTTGATTGACAATAAAAAAAACATTTTGTCGCCTCATATTCTTTATTCTTTGTAAAAATAGGTCTTTTTCTTCATATAGTATTTTAATTTTTCTCGCTCAATAGATATGTATTATACAGGGTGTTTCCTAAGTACGTTCTGTGACATGAGGATGCGATTTGTTACGACATTTTAAGAAAATCGTGTGTGGAAATCTGTACCTAATTTCTGAGTGTTGCTTGATATTTATTAAAAAAAAAAATATAACAACTCAGTACACAGAGCTAGCACAAGTACATTAGCAAAGTACTTGAAGTACAACTATGAAGTAAATAAATCTAATAGATTTACTTGAAGTACAAGTACAAGTTTTTTAAAATTATATTCTGATTATCAAGTAAACTTGAAATTTACTCGAATTTCATCAAGTAACAACATTTAGCTTCAAGTAAACTGGCATTAATTGAAGTATATTCTAGTACTGTCTTGAACTTTGAAGTCAAGTTTGAAGTATTTAAAATATTTAAAATAAATTGCTTGAAGTATTTTGGTATTTCAAATATCTAAAATCTGTTCAAAACAAGACAATTCTTAATAATTTTTTTAATTATTCATAATATAATCCGATCCTCATTCTATTCTGGTATCTTATCTGAGTTTTATATTATTTATTATTTTATAAACTAATAAAAGTACTAAGGTGCTTCAGTGATTAGTAATTTTTTATATTTTTCTTTATGAAGTGCGCCAATTCGAGTAAAATTTTGTATATCTCAGTCTCAGTTCTAAGAGTCAAGCAGGGCATGATTCCAAAATAGGTACAGGGTATTTGATTATATTTAAGCCCATACCTACAGCCTTTACTATTTAAGGCGCGGTTAGAAATAATTACCCAGATCTTCGTTGGATATTTGAGCAAATTGAAATAATTATATATCAATGGAAAGAGCAATAAATTCTGTATAAATCCGTGCAAAATTGAGCTTGATGGCTCAAATAGTTTTTAAGCAATTGAGTTTCAAAGGCTTTTAGAATTCAGAAAAAGTACCCTTATAAAAACACAATTTTTTTATTTTTTAGTTTTGCTCAATTTTGACCGTCAACCTTGACATCATTTCCAATTCCAAATGACCATTTCAAGCAGAAACAAAAATTTAAAAAAAAAATCCTATTTTTGTCTCTGAAAAATTTTCAAAATCGTGACCTGGTCATGAACAATTAATTGCCTATATCTTTGTTAAATTTAAAGCAAATTGAAATAAATTATACACCATTGAAACAAGTATTAAATTCTCTATAAAGCTGTCCAAAATTGAGTTTGATATATCAAATAGTTTTTGAGCGATTGAGCCTCAAAGTTGATTTTAAATCGAAATTTTGTCAAAAACTTGAAACTCAATTTACTCAAAAACTATAAACCTAGGAATATTGTAAATTACAGGCCATTTGAAGCTTAATAAGAGCTACAAATACAGAAAATTTGAATTCAATTTGCCCAATGATTACCAAACAATTGAGGTTTGAAGATTTTGGAATTAAAATTCAAAGGGGTTTTATACCTTATAAAAAATTCGATTTTTTTATTTTTTACTTTTGCTAAATTTTGATTTCACCAATCGATAGAGTGGGTCAAAATTAGTGGAAAACAATCCTAAAATCATTTTCAAATGGCCATTTCAAACAGAACCAAAAATAAAAAGGAAATCTTCTTTTTGGCTCTAGACAATTTTCAAAATTTTGACATGTCTTGAACAATTTCCCATATCTTGGGTAAATTTTAAGCAAATTGAAATAAATCACATACCATTGGAAAAAGCATCAAATTCTCTATAAATCCGTGCAAAATTGAGCTTAATAGCTCAGATAGTTTTTGAGTAATTGAGCCTTAAAGTTGATTTTTAGTCCAAATTTTGGCAAAAACTTCAAACTCAATTTGCTCAAAAACTAAAAACCTGGGAAAATTGTAAATTACAGGGTTTATACTGTTTATAGAGCTTATTAAGAGCTACGAATGCTAAAAATTTCGATGTAATTTGTTCAACAGTTACCAAGTAATTGAGATTTGAATATTTTGAAATCAGAATTCAAAGGGGGTACCCTTATGAAAAACTCGATTTTTTTATTTTTCAGTTTTGCTCAATTTTGACTTCACCCCTAATTAAAATCGATAATGGTTCCAGGTGTATACAATATACATTACAAATGCAATATATAGCTAGGTATCAGTTTATATGTTGGTACAAAAATCGCCTTAATCCTACTTATTTGAATAATAATATGATACAATCAACTTTCAATTTATTTATTCACAGAAACTCCATTTTAACAGTTTTTACAACAATAATAAAATATGTATAACAGTGTAGTACCTAGAGTAGTAACATAATTCCTAGATCATATTATACAGTGTGCGCCATAAAGTTGGGTACATATGGAAAAATTCTTAATTATTTCTTTTTTCAAATTTTTTTTTTTTGGGGATCGTTCAGGCATGTTCGATAATCAAAAAATCGATTATGACACATGTTATACGATTATCGGTTTAGCGGGAATTTTGAAAAAAGTTGATATTGATGTCGAAAAACGGGTAAATTTGACAAGATATCAAAAAATTTTATAAGAAAAAGTTGTTCAGAATCCAAAAAGAACTCCACTTGCCGAAGCAAATCAGAGAAAAAAAATGAAACTATTTTTTTACCCAGGCATATTATTAAATGGAAAATCGAAAATATCAATTTTATTTCAAAAATAGCTTTATTCAACTAAACTACATAAGTTTGATATCAAACGAATCGATTGTTTTGCGAAATACATACCTGAAGGTCATAAATTAGAAAATACCGTCCGGTCGTGTCGCTATAACTGTACCCATGTCCCTTTTTGCACATTTTCTGGTGATCAGAAAAATAACATGACATGTGTCATAATCGATTTTTTGGTTATCGAACATGCTCTAACAATCCCCAAAAAAAGTTTTTTGAAAAAAGGAATAATTAAGAATTTTCCCATTTGTAGGTACCCAACTTTACGGCGCACACTGTATACAGTGCCCGCGGAAAATTCTGCACCATATGGGAAATTTTTGTATGCACATCCTTACTTCAAATCGGTTTTCGGCATGACTGAAAACCAAAAAAATACCTAAAATTTTTGACTCGAGTCTTGCCTCGAATGCCATTTGAAAATTTCAAACAAGAAAAAGTGACATTTTTATAAAAAAATATGAAAAAAATTTATAAGAAAATATTGTTCCAAATGACATTTAGGAGTAGTTTATAAACAAACAATTTGAAATTTCAATTTGAGAAATCTAAAATTTTCAAAATAGTCCAGAGGCGTATCAAAATTTTAATAGAAATATTTCTTTTTGATGTTTAAACTCTTAATTAGATTATTAAGATTTAAAAAACCATTAGTCAGATACAAACTGATTATTTTAGAGAAATGGTCGCAAAAGAAATCCTAAAAATATTATTTATTTTCTACTTTACTATTATAGATCCATAATACCTAGGAAACGAAATACGTTAACACACCTATAACAACCTGATCCATAACGCCCGCTTATAATACCTTAAGGTGTTTTTGTTGTTGTTGTTCTATTAATTTGCACTTTACCCTAGGCAGCCACTAAATGTCTGACCGAAAATAATTTTCGGTCTAGCCAGGATTCGAACCCGGTCTACCATCAACGTTTCCCATGTAGTCCAGCGCGTTAACCCACAGGACCACCACCGTTGCCTTGCCTTATGAGATGTTTATAGATATATTAATGTATTTCGTTTCTATGTACAGGTCGCAGGTACAGGTACAGGTCACAGGTACATGTCAAAATACAAAACAATATTCTGTCACACAAGTTTAACTGATTTTGTTAATAACAAATTGATGAAAAAACATTGTGTTGAGTAGAAAATAAAGCATTGTATGCACCACGGGGATTTCAAGATTATAATGCCCTTCAGGCGAAATATATCCCTCGGGCCATAGGCCCTCGGGCTAGTTTCGCCTTCGGGCATTATAATCTACATAATCCCCTTGGTACATAAATAGCTATTTTACGTAGATATTCGAAAAAAATTGAAAAAAAAAAACCTTTCTTTTTTCAAAGTAAAAATATCAAATTAGACTAAAAATGTCATTTGGAGCAATATTTTCTCATTAAATTTTTTCATATTTTTTATAAAAATGCCACTTTTCCTTGTTTGAAATTTTCAAATGGCATTTGACAGGTGTGAGGCAAGTCTCGAGTCAAAAATGTTAGGTATTTTTTTGGTTTTCAGTCATGCAGAACCCAATACCGAAAACTGATTTGAAGTAAGGATGATTATAAAAAAAATTCCCATATGGTGCAGACTTTTCCGCGGGAACTGTATACAGCAAATAATGCATACAAGTGCCTTTGCTTCATCTTAAGAAATGGTAAAGATCTGAGTATGGAAACACTAATTCAACTATACAATGCTCTGGTGAGACCACACTTGGAGTATGCTGCTCAAATCTGGATGCCACTGGCTCAGTGTCATATAAATCACATTGAAAAAGTTCAAAAGCGTTTCTTGAGATTCCTGTGTGTTAGGCAAAATGGAGTGTACCCGTTTTTGGTCTCATATAGGGCAATGCTAAACAGTTTCCATATAAATTCCCTTGTACAAAGAAGAAATGAACAAGCTGTGATATTCCTTAACTATATCTATATACAGGGTGTCCCACGACGTTTCTCTCAGGTAATAACTTCGGAACGCGTCCTCCAATATAATTGAAATTTTGAGGAGCTGGGTAATTTTTTATGCCGCTTCTACTATTGTCATCCAATTTCACCAGTTTTGCTGCAATTTTGGTCAAGTGACGTCATCTTTCGAATTTTAAATGTAACTCATGGTATATTATAGCATTTTTCGTTAGAAAATTAAATTACAAAATCGGCAATGCCATATTTGTTAAGGCTTTGTTAAAGAAAATGATAAAAAATTATACAGTGGAACATACGATGATGCGTTCCGAAGTTATCATTTGGGAAAAACCTCGTGGGACACCCTGTATATAAAAATTAATGCCACTTTTCGGCGCCATCTCTTATAACCGATACCAAGTTTATTTTGTATTTTGTATACCGCACCATCTCTGATACCTGGAACGAAGCTCGGCATTGCAGATACAGTAGAACAATGCTGCTCAGGTACTGGAGCTATTTCGAACAGAACTATTCCACTATTCCGATCAGATAGAGTGGTGCAGAAAGAGTAGATCAGATAGAGCAGTGCAGATAGAGTAGAACAGATGGAGTAGTGCAGTGCAGATAGAGTGAAACAGGGCTGCGATTTTTTTTGTTTTCTTCACATTCTTTGAACATTCCTGTGCCTGAGTTTATTTATTTGGTGGTACACTTTATAAGAAAAATGCCCACAAGATGCCTAAAAAGGGATGATGTAAAATTTTAATTTTAGGTGACTTCCAGAGAGTAAAAATTAATTTTCTTCGACCAAAGCCAAATTCACCATTGAAAAAAAACTGAATTTAATTTAGTTAATAGATACGTTAACACAACATTTAATAGGTATTTAATAATTCAGAGGAGGTACGAAGTTCGCCGGGTTTTTGTTAATATTTTTCCATATTACGTAATTTTCCAATAATTTTCGTAATCTTACATAATTTTTGAAATTTTCATGAGTTTTTTTCGTAATATTATAATTCTCCTAATTTTTCAATAATTGTAATTTCCGTATTTTTCGAAATTTCTGTGATTTTTTGTAGTATTCGTTATTTTTCATTTTTATAATTCCTGTAATTTACGTAATTTATCAATGACTTTTGTATCGGGACTTCAAAAAAAAAACCAATCGAAGATTGCTTTGATTACGAAAACGTACGTCGCATTACTGTTTATTTATTGGACAGTATTATTGACAAATCATTTTGACATTAAAGTTCATTGAGAAAATTAAATAAAAATATTGCTAAGACACTACACTTACCTTTAATAGTATAATCGTGCAACAAATAGGATCCCAACCTATCCTACACCAATTACCAAAAAGATATAATCAAACCACGAATTGTTGTCCTGGATGTCAGTGAAATGCAACTTCAATTGGTAAAAAATGGTAATCATTTAAAGAGGAAGTTATTGAAAACATTTACAGCCAAATGCTCAAAGCCTAATGCCAAACTTGCTCAACTAGAAGTAGCTTACTGATTTCTGTACCTATCACGGCCAAGCAATGACAGAATTTTACCTCAACATAATTAGAAGCTAACATTTTTTGGGGGGGATCGGTTCATTTTTATGACAAAGTAATTATAAAAACGATAAAACATAGTAATTGCCAAGTAGTTACTGTGTTTTGATATATGATTTGATAAATGCTATGTTTTATAATGGTAAAATATTTTTTAGCGAGCAGTTACTGTGTTTTGAATACACTTTGTTTTCCTTATTTATCAAGGGATTTCAGCCTGTAAAATACCAATATGTTCAGCAAAACACAGCAACCACAAATCCCTAATAATCTGAATTTTGATGAAAATGTTAGTTACTGTGTTTTGAATTGTAACAGCCGATTTAAGAACATTAAAATAAATGTTTTGAAGATTTTGAATAATTTAAGTTCTAAGAATAAAGACAACCATTTTAAATACTGTGGCGCAGGTCATATAATCTAGGATTTATATTTCCTTTAGCTGACCTAACAGCGTCAAATTCATGCAGCATCCCTTTGACCGATTTCCTTTTTATTTTTTCAAACTTGCCAGGATATCATATGCCCAAATAACTACATTTTTTTAGTCCAATCACTCTAAAATCAACCATTGAAATGAAGACAAGTGGCGTCTTCTATTTTGTTCGTTACATAATAAATCAAGAATAAAAATACTCTGAAAACATTGCAATCTTTCTGAATTTTGATAACTTTAAGATCTAAATTCATGTCATTTTCAGAATAAACAATGGCCAACATCAGAGTAACTTTCGTACTGCCAAACAACGCCCGAGACGAATCCGAAGCCTCTCACGTAATGAAGCAAGCCTACAATTCATGCAAAAACTTCGTAAACGAAATATTTTGGGCCAAAGAAACTGATTTGAACAGTCGCGATCTATCAAAGGGAGATTATTTGGTCTTCGAAGAATTTTCTAACAAAGACTACACCCAATACACTGAACGAAAATGCGTCGTAATCAGCCCTCTAGCAATAAGCGTGTGTTTAGTTGAAGGCAAACAAATTCCCAAATTTAATTGGCCAATTTTGAGCGTGGCTTTATATGGTTGCGAAGTCACTTGCACTCAACTGCCAAAAAATCTGAAGGAATCTATAAAAGAGAAAGTGCAACTTATGGGAGGGTCGTACAGTGGGGATTTAACAAATTCAGTCACTCATCTAATATGTGGCTCTTCTAATTCGGAAAAATATAGATTGGCTGTTGAAAAAGGGGTTTTGTTAATGTTGCCTACGTGGATTGATTATATGTTTGAGTTGAGTCAAAAAAATAACGTCAACTGCCACAATAAGAAAATTCTGGATGAGTACAAATGTCCTCCTTTTTATGGTTTGAGTATTTGCGCTACAGGGTTGACTAGTGGGCCACAAAAAACAAGACTGTCGGAAGTTATAAAGACTAATGGTGGAAGTTTTACCGGCACTTTAATTTTATCCAAGACTGATGTATTGATTTGTTATGGAACTACAAGCAGTACGAGTGAGAAATATAAATCGGCACGACGTGTTCCGAGTATTTGGTGTGTTACTCCCAATTGGATTGACGACAGTGTGGAAAAAGGTAATTTTTATTTATTATTATATGGTAATATCGCACACAATTTGATAATATTTTGCTGGGCTGGACTCTTTATAAAATTCAACTTTATTGAGTTTCTGTTTAATTCCAAAATAGAGGATTGTCAATGTTTAGTACAACAAAGTTAATAGAATTTGAATCAATATTGTCACAACCTATTTTGTTGCAACTGGGGGTTTGGGATCTTTTGGCGTTTTAATGAATTAAAACAATAAGTCTCAAAACATTAAGAATAATTAAGTTTATTGATAACAACTAAAGGGTTGATTACTAGATGATAACACTAGACATAATTTATAAATGTTAAATAACGGTACTGACCGGAGACTCATCTTTCTATAGACCGTAGACATTTATTCATTCCATAAATGTATATGGCACCTAGCACAATCTCAGATTTGAAGTTTAAACCATCGAGTGCCATACGCGCGTACGGAATATAAATCAGTGTCATATTCACTTACGGATTGTAATATACCTAGTTAGGCGTTATGCGCAAGCAAAATCACGTTTCCAGCGGCCGAATATCTTGTTTTATTTTTGTGATTGTTGGGTTTACATAGGTGCATTTGCATTGCATTTAGTCTTTATTTCCATTATTACATTAACTTAAAACTACCTTAATCTACTATAATCATAAGTACTTAATTCTATGTGCGCCAGAGGGGCACGGCCGATGTTTGTGGCCCGAATTAGGTAGGAATACAGTAGGCGTGGCAGTGACAACCAGTCCGGTGTGACTCTTTTCTGGGACAATCTATGTTGCTCTTTATAGGTCAATTCACAGTCTTGACTTTATGTCGTGTTCGTGGATTAAAGTGTCCAGTAGTCATTCCATAGTTGCCAAGATATTTATGAAGGGAAAAATTGAGAAAAACCCTTCTTCACGTTTCTTTGGTGTTGATTTTTAAGCTTGCGCTAGTACCGGCTGGCCTCGGTCTGCAATTAAATTAGGTGGGCGTGTCCGTGGGTGATACCCCGGAGCTCCAATTGAGTTGTCGATCCTAGTTAACTATTCTAAGTGTAGATTCTAATTCAATTACATTCCGTTCGCCGGATTCAAGGCGGCTCGAAATAAATTGGCAACCTATGGTGTATGGGTCGGTGTTTTACAGGGTTGTGTGGGTCGAACTTGAGGGTGGCCAGGTTTCGGGTTAGGGTAGGTCCGTGTGCGGAACGATTGAAGAATTTAATTGAGACTTCATTGAAGTATTCGATGATGGTATTTATACGGGCAAGTCGATGTACTTCTATCGTTCGGGCGTCCATTGGCAGTGAAAGGGCGTTTTTAAGAATTTTATTTTGGAATACTTGGAGCCTTTTCTTCTGTGTGTTGGAAATAAAGCTCCAAGCAGGTGCTCCGTAGAGTAGAGTAGGCCATTTTATGGTCTTGTATACGCTGATTTTATTTTTTGGGCTCAGAAAGGAATTGGTGGGAGATAGAAGATGCTCGGCGATCTGTGACTTTCTGAGGGTGTGAGTTACCTGGGGGAGGCCCTTGAGGGTCTTATCAAGGACTATTCCCAGGTACTTGGCGGTGAGTTTGGGTTCTATTACGACGTTGTTAGTCATCAGAGGGGGGTTCATGATGATGTTCGTACGCTTCCTGGTAAGCGTAAGAAGTTCTGTTTTGGGGGTGTTGTGGGTGATTTTCCAGGTCTGAAGATAGGGAGTGATGAGGTTTATGTGACGTTCCAGCGCCCTTCTCGCGTCTTCTGCAAGAAAGGCACTGGTGTAGATGGCGGTATCGTCGGCATACATCATGACTTTTGTGTCATTGGTTTTGGGTATGTCGGCGATGTATAAATTGAACAGGGTGGGTGAGAGGACTGTGCCCTGGGGCACTCCGGCCCGAACTGGTTTGGTTGGGGATAGCGAGCTTTGAAATTTGATGTTGAATGTTCTGTCATTAATGTAAGAGGCAATTAAAGAAATCAGGTGGAGAGGTAAGTTATGTACAGTCAGTAGTTTGTAGATAAGGCCCTTGTGCCACACTTTGTCAAAGGCCTTCTCTATGTCGAGTAGCAGTAGGAATGTGCTCTCTCGATTATTGAATGCGAGTGAGGCGTCCTGAGCTACCCTCGCTACTGCTAGAGTCGTGTTATGCTGAGGGCGGAATCCGTATTGTTCGTCGGGAAGACAGTTCAGTGAGTCAATTACAGCGGAAAGTCTACGTGAAATTATTATTTCGGCAATTTTGCTTAGGGAGTTTAACAATGAAATTGGTCTGAAGTACTGTGGTTGTGTTAGGTCTTTGCCGGGTTTTGGGAAGACTATTATGCACGCCTGTTTCCAGGGTTGTGGGAAGTGCTGGAGAGTCAAGATTGTGTTAATGATTTGCAGGAGATGCATAATAGTCTTTCGGGGGAGGTTTTTGACCATTTGGTTGGTGATAGTGTCAGGTCCGGGTGCTTTTCTATTTTTTAGTCTTTTCAGTGAGTCAGCTAGGTCAGATGGTGTGACCAGCATCCGCTGGTGAACTCCCGGGGGATAGGGTATTTGCGCCTGACAAAGGCGTCGGCGATGTCGTTAATGTTTGTGTGTGTAATAGTTGCGTCGGGTGTTTCGCTATAAACCCTAGCGAAGTGGTCTGCGAAAACGTTCGCTTTGTCCTGTTCCCTGTAGTAGCTGACACCATCGACTACCAGGTCCGATTGTGTCGTGCCTGATCTTCGAAGATTCTTGGCCAGCTTCCACAAGGAGTTGTCTTGGGTCTCCAGAGAGGAGACATACCTCATCCAGGACGTGTTTTTGTGTTGACGTATGCTCCCCTCTATCTCCCGGCTGAGTAAGTTCAGTAGCTGTTTGTCTAGTAGGTTTGGACCACTGATCTCAAAAATAAATGGATAAACAAAGAACGCTTCTAATGCTGCTAATTTACGAGGTCATAATATAAACAAAAACAACTGACTGGGACAGCTGTGAGCGTGCGCAGTAGATACATGAACTGTGCGTGCACAAAATCTGGCCAATGAAAACGAAGGAATTTCAAAATTTAGAACAGTTGCTCGACAGATAAGACACTGCGCAGGCGTTAGGCTGTTCCGTTGCACAACTGTTCATAGAATATTGACCCCAAATTTTTGCACAATTTTAGCCAATCGAGCCGTAACGATTGTTTATTCATTTATTTTTGAGATCAGTGGTTTGGACGCCTTTGCCAAGCGCGCTTGACCCTATTCCTCTCCTTGATGAGGGCAATAACGGGGTCTGGAATGATGTCAGTCCATGCTTTGGGGGTGATTTTTGGAGCTAGCTAATTTCTGACTTGCGTGATGTTGTTTGTAATAAGTGTTACTTGCCGCTCCAGTTCGGGGATGGTAGTTATGTGATGTCGTTCAGAAGTTGCTTGTAGCGTGTCCAGTTGAAGTTTTTGTAGCTATGTATTTTTTGCGGTTTCTGCACTGGAGGGTTTTTCCAGTACAGGAAGAGCGGTATGTGGTCCGAGTTAAAAATGTTTTTGGTTTTAATAGTCAAATCTCTGAATCCCCTCGAGAGAGCGATATCTATCGTCGAGGGGTTCAGTCCGTTAAGCGGGTAGTGCGTGGGGTTATTCGGGTGGTGTAATGAAATGTCTGGGTTGTCATTTAAAAACTTGAAGAGTATTCTACCTGTCCTGTTGTTTGCGTGGTTGAGCCAAGATGTGTGCCTGACATTAAGGTCCCCCAGCAGTAGTGCCCTTCCATTTCTGGGAAAGAAGACCTTAATGTCAAGGGCGGTTCTAATCGCTTCGGGGGGAGCGTAGCCACCCGAGATCCACAAATTGTTATCTATTTCTAGCGTTATGTGCTCGATGCTGGTGTTTAGGGTTGGAATTCGCTTATAGCTGACTGATTTGTGGATCAGGCAAGCTACGCCCCCGCCTCTGCGATTTCTGTCCATTCGTTCTGTGTTGTATTGCTTGTGCTTAAGGCTGTCCGTTGGTAGTAGTTTAGTCTCGTTTAAGAAGATTAGTTTGGGACTATAATGGTTCATGGCCCGTAGCACAAACTTTAGCGCCCAAATTTAGATCTATAACTAACTCGAAAATGACGCCAAATCGATTCAGGAATGTCAGCAAAAATCATTGACCTAAAACCTAGGTTGTTGGCTGTAAGCTTTTTGCTAACATCCTAATGCGTTTGCTTTATTTAATATAACATCCATATTGCCCAACTGAATTGAGACATTACTTGTCAATGGCCCTTGGTTAATTCGTATTAATGATTTTATAAAGGGTGATATTTTTTGGCTTGACATTTCTTTCGGACTACAATGTGTCATTTTTTGCATTGTAATTTGAATGCGTTGAATGCATATTATGGCTTCACCCTCACTGGGAACAAATGATGAGTTCAGGGTGCGGAGTATGGAGTTTATTTGACTTTGGTACACAAAGTTCGATCGATAGTTTCCGCCGTACGCCAACTTGCTTTACGGACGATGGTGCTTATGCTCAGTGGCTTAAACTTGACCTACATCCTGGTTGGTCTAGGTCATATTATTTGTTTACTTTTGATAGTGCATTGCTGAGTGATGGTAAACTTGTGTGTCCCGAGATTAGGCTTAACATTTCCTTATCTTGGGCGGTGATTTTTGTCCCTTATGGTGAAGTGGAAGTGATGGTTATCAGCGTCTGGTCAATGTTATCAAGGTCTTTGCGTCTCGAATTTTTTGCCGTGCTGATACTCTGGATCTCCACTGCATCCAAGAACCATTTGGCATTGACTTGAATTGCTGAATTTAATGCGTTAGGTGCATCAGGTATTGAAATAAATTACAGATATTTGTCCTGAGTGTGTGTACTAATGCCGGTGCTCAATGTGGTGCATGGTCTCCTGTTGGACGATATTGGAGTCCTGATGTTGGAGGTGGTGTCCTTATGACAGGAAAGGCGTTGTGTTGACAGGTATTTTACATGAACAAAGTACATGTACATATATGTGCTATCAATTAAGCTTATACCCTATATAAATAAACGAAAACCTTAAACCAACTGAAAA